TAAATGGGCTCTAACCTTCATTATTACTATTACTATTTATTTAACCCGTTTGCTCCTTAACTTCTCCACATGAGAAATGAATCTCTGGACTCATATTCTCTGTAAGATCCTTTCTTGTGCTTAGATTCTTTGGTTCCAGTTGTCTGTACATAGCTGATGATGTACAGAGTTCCACTCATGTCTACATGTTTGTGCATGTGATGTGTCTGGATGCTCTGGTGTGCTAGAATATAACAGGGCCTTTTCTTTCCACCAGGCATGCAACATGGCATCATTTTGGGATTCAGGCATTTGCAAAGCCCCCTCAGAATTGGGGTGGAGTAGGAATTAATGAGAATTCTAGACCAAAAATAACCTAGATCACTGCTCTGTGACACTGTATAGAAATCCCTCTGGTTTTTATGATACTTGTTATCTATAAGGCTGCAAAAGAGAAGTACCCTTAAATAATAGCATTGCACTTTAACACCATACTTTATACTCAAGCTTTGAAACAGTTGGAATAAAACTGGAACCTGACTTTTTCTTTTGGTAACTGGAAGGCACTCCAGTAGACTTCTGTTAAGACAGTGCCACAGTTACATCAGAACCAGTGGCTTTAAGAACTGAAGAGCATTTGCCAGTCTTATTGTCTGGGGGCTTCCCTGGTTCAAGGTAGCTGCCATTACTGCTGCTACTGCTGACCACTGCTGTAAGGTGGTTGAATTTAGCACAAAGCCTTCATGTTACTCACCTGCTTCTGGATATCAAGTTCTTTTATCATAGAGTCATGAACTCCCATCTCACTTTCTCCATGACCTTGGATGTTTTGTGCGCATATCCTCTTGAAGAGGGAACTCTGAAAGTCGCTCATCCCACTGACCCTCTGTTAAAAGGAAAAGGCAATCTTTACTGAAACCATTTTGCCAGGCATCCAAGGCAATCAATCAGTCACCTGCTCACCCTCACTTATACCACCTGGGAGTTCTGTTCACCTCCAGCACTAACATCGCCATCTTGCTGACATTGTTAATGCCCCTTAAGTCAGTGGGATGGACCACAAGTAACATTTGACAGTAAGTTTTACTTGCTTCCAAGGGAAAGCTAGTTTCACCTTTGGCAAAGGCCTGGCAATATGAGGTTGCCAACAGAAGAGAAGCCATAAAGTTTTACATGTTTTATGCTTTAAGAGCACACTTTGCATCTTGGTTTCTGACATTGTTCCATCAAAATCTTCTTTTCTCTGATTGACTTACCTTGCCAGAGGAAAGGGACAATGCTGCACCCTAGTGTCACTTCCCAGGTACTTGAAAATTTTTTTCTGTCCCTGCCTTCACTGCCATGTATAGGATTTGTGCCCTGTCACTCTTTCTACGATAAATGTCAACTTTTAAGACTTATATTCAGCTGTCCAAATAGTGAAATTTAATGGAAGCACTTTTTAATGGACCTATCAGAATTTCAAAATGCTCATATACAGGCCATGAAAGTTCATGTTGTTAGTTGTTGTTATTTGCCGTCGAATCGGCCCCGACTCATAGCGACCCCTCCTTGGGTTTCCGAGGCAGTATCACTACGGAAGTAGGATTGAAAGTTCATAGTGCATATTAAACTGAATTTTTTTAAAAAGGAAAAGTCATTTTCATATTTTCAGGGGGAAGATGTTTCTGTGTGTGGGAAGATTTACAGTTTCAAACACCAGCAAGTCCCTTGGAAATGAAACGGAATGCTCATATCATTGTAGAGCATTTTTAGAAGCAGTATCATAGTTCAGTGGGAACAAAATAGTACATTTGGAATAGGAACTGGGTTCTGTGGCTGAGTTCACTGGGTGAGATTCGGGCAGCCCATGTCATTCCTCGTTCTCAGTTTCCCGTCTGTAAAATAGAAGGAATAATGCCTGGCCTATGATCTCAGTGGAATACGAAAGTCAGAAGAAGTGATATAAAAGCACTTTTCAAAGTGACATATATAAGTGTGTGTACATTTAATTACATGCCACGTAATTAAATACACTCCTACACATACAGAGACATAAATATGTACAGAAACATGCTATTTCTCGGAAGGCTTTTGTCATTCTGTTACCTATATTGCAAGATTTAACTCAATGTAGATACATTCATACCTGTAAATAAAAAGATTTTAAACTATTACTAAACGTTGTAACAATCTATTTCTAGCTAACTGTTTAAACCATTAATATAAAAAATGGCTCAAAGGCTAAAAGCAAATGAAGGAAAATGTAAAAAAGGTCTTCAATAAGCATTCTTCTTACTCATCTTATGCCTTGTCCCATTCTTTCTAAACACCTACACATGTACATTTCCTTTAATAATTCATAGATACTTTTGTTTTCTTCTTTTTTACTTCTATTGTAGGACTTACTATTAAAAAAATTTTTCATATTGCTCAAGTTGTCATTCTGTTCATTTGTCTTTGTAAATATGCCATGTCTGCTGTCTTTGCCTCACTAACGTGGCTCCCCAGCATGCCTGGCAGGCAAGATCAAGGTGTCTTGTGTATCCTGTAGACACAGATGTCTGCTCCTTGCAGATGAGGTCTGTGACCTGAACTTGTTGAGGTAAGGGAAGAAGGAGCAAAGTCATACAAAGGTCCTGTGACCTTTACTGCCACATTGTCCCCAAACCTAGAAATACATTCATGAGAACACGCCTCCGTGGTCCTTCATCCCAGCAAATGCAGACCAAGGAGGAGACTCTAACATGGGCCAGTACCATTTCTAACTGTATTTTCCTTTCGACAGACCTATGATTTTTTTAATTCAGAATCAGCCAGAGTCTATGTGATATGTAAGTTTTTGCATCCCTTAATTTCCCTTGTTCAAACCTACTTACTACCTGCATATTATTTCGCATTTGAAACTATCAATCATATCTAAATAATGTATACATTGACTAGTTAGGAGCTCTGGTAGCATAGTGCCTAAAGCACTTGACTGCTAACCAGGAGGCTGGTGGTTCAAACCCACCAGCCACTCCTCGGAAGGAAGATGGGCAGTTTACTTCCATAGTGATACTGCCTTGGAAACCCAAGGAGGGGTCGCTATGAGTCAGGTCCGACTCAACGGCACATAACAACAACAACAACAAGAATTGACCTATAAATATTTCTGAAAAACCTTAAATCACACATCAGTAGGACTCAAGCTGTTCATGTTTTTAGTGTAGTCGTGATGTATTTCCTACATATTTTGAATTAATAACAATTTCTCATTATGATAATGATGGGTAATGTATTGATATTGCCAAGTACTGTGTGTCAGGCACTATGCTAGGTACTTTATATAAATTGCCACTGATCCTCAGAACAACCATAAATTACTATCCTTATTATAAATAAGGAAACTGAAGCTCACAGAAGTTAAGTAATTTGCCCTTAGTTATGCAGCCAGTAAGTGCCAGGTGCAGAACTGTGGCCCAGTCTGCCTATTCCCAAAGGCTGGGTGCGTTTTATCACTTGCTCTCTCTACATTTATTATTCCCCAGAGTGATTTTCAGGGGAAACATAAATGATATTTGATTTGTTGTTTGCTCACTTTTGAATATCAGAGACTCCTTTTATTAAAAAAAAAAAAAAAAAAGTATCTGCATAGGACAAGACTGCCATACTTTCTAGCTTCACATTCTGTCTAATTCTAATATATGTGCATAATGCATTTGAGAAGTTATTCTGAATGAAAAATGTAACCAAATATATGTGTTAATAAACCATGTTGAATGAGCATGATAAAAGCATGCCAATACTGGGATGTTCGATCAAAACACAAAAAGCGCTTGAGCATAAAGGAAAATCTGATATGCCTGTGTGGTCTTCTTTGCGCACATCCCACGTTGTCACTTATGTGGGGGCTTGCCTCCTGGTAATATATTTTCCATTTCTACATTATCTCTTACATTTAGTATCTGTGCTGCCAGAGTGACCTCTTATCTCTCCTCAGGGAAGTTTGCGATTCTTCTATGAGATTACCCTCCACCCCACGATCACCATATTTCAATGGCCATATGCTTCTTTAGAACAAAATGTTTCCTTGTTTACAGTTTCATGCTACTTTAAGCAGCTGGATTATTATTTTAATTGCCTTTTCTTAAATAGGCACATTTTTGGAAAGATGTTTTTCCAAAAGAACCACATAGCAATATTCCTTCTAATTACCCATTTAATTAGGCCACAGATAAATGAGAGTCCCTGCCAGCCACACAAGTGAGGGGCTCTTGGCTCTGTGTTCCCCATGCATGCCCTTGACCTTTGCCTTCATCTAGAATTTGGTGGAGAAGCAGCTTTAGCATCGCAGCTAATATTTATGTTCACCTGTGGTTCTTTTGCAGCATAATTGGACTCCCAGGAGAAGAGGACTGGCCTAGAGATGTTGCCCTTCCCAGACAGGCTTTCCATTCAAAATCTCCCCAACCAATTGAGAAGTTTGTAACAGATATTGATGAACTAGGCAAAGACCTCCTTCTGGTAAGCTTTTGGAATGCGTGTTGGTCTGCACTGTACTGCAGTGCTCTGTCCAGGCTGGGGAGTGGGCACAAGCATCAGTTCAGCAAGAGCTATAGACAGCGCGCTCCCTGACCACCCAGGGCAAGAGGCCACCGTCTCTCCACGTGTTTCTTTTCCACACCTGTAGCAGCTCATGGCTTTTGATTGTAGAATATCTTCAGTTTTTATAGGAAGAAAAAACTCCAATCCACACCCTTTAAATCCATTATCTTTTTCATTGATTTGAATGCAGCCTTAGAAGCCTCTCAATTCATTTGACCATGTGCTTCTTTAGAACGAAATGTGTCCTTGTTTACAGTTTCATGCTACTTTAAGCAGGTGGATTATTATTTTAATTGCCTTTTTTTACAGGCACATCTTTGAAAAGATGTTTTTCCAAAGGAACCACATAGCAATATTCCTTCTAGTTACCCATTTAATTAGTATGTATTTAAAGTGCCACGCACGTTAAAAGTCCCTCACTGAAAATAAGGACTTCTATGCCCTGTTTTAAAGAGCCTTGGTGGTACAGTAGTTAAGCACTCAGCTGCTAACCAGAAGGAAGTCAGCAGTTCAAAGCCACCAGCCGCTCTGCAGGAGAAAGATGTGGCAGGCCGCTTCTGTAAAGATTTACAGCCTTGGAAGCAGAAGCTCTGTGGGGCAGTTCACCTCTGTCCCATAGGGTTTCTATTAGTCAGAATCAATTTGCAATGGATTCGGTATGCCCTGTTTGGAATCCCTGGGTGTATACTCGGCTGCTGACCAAAAGATTATTTAAGTCCACCCAGAAGCACCAAGGAAGAAAGGCCTTGGAACCTACTTTCCAAAAAATCAGTCGTTGACAACCTGATAGAGCACGATTCTACTCTGACAGACATGGCATCACCATGCATCACCATCAACTCAACAGCAACAGTTTATGCTCTGTTTGAGGTTCAAACTCATAATCCTTGGCCTCGTATGTAATTCCCTATACTTGGAGACCCCCTCAAGGACTGCTCTTGGTATATGGGACCTGTTTTGGCTTCCTAGTGCTGCTCTGACAAGAATATACCACAAGTGGGATGGCCTTAACAAATAGGAGTTTACTCCCTTACAGTTTGGAGGCTTTAAGTCCAAGTTCAAAGTGCCAGGCTCTAGGGGTTGGGTGAAAGCCTCTCAACCTTGGGCTTCAGCTCTGCCTCCTGCTCCTGGCCCACTGAAGCTAGAGACTTTTCTTCACTAAGACAGCTGCTGGCTGCTAAGTCTGCCCAAGGTTGACAAGTAAAAAGGCACAGTCCTGATGTTACCAAACCACGTAGCAGGCCATTAATTCAAGTTCATTGAAAGTCCCAAGGTCAGCAGAGCATGGCAGGCCATTAATTCAAGTTCATTGAAAGTCCCAAGGTCAGCAGAGCATGGCAGGCTGCTGAACAACAGCATGGCTACATGCAGGGTTCAAGCATGCCATAAGCTAGAGACCATTCCCGAAGCTGCAACTTATATACAGGAAGCAGACCACATCCCTAAAGCAGCTACTCAGCTGCTTGTGGTAGATCCCACCATGGAGGTGATTGACAGTCTCATCATGGGGAGTAACTGCCACCAGCTACCCAGCCACTCAACCAGACCCAGCCAAGGTGACACACAAACATAACCATCACAGGACCCTACTGAGTAAGAAGTAGTTTAGCTACTGAATTAAAAGCCTTTGATATCTGTCCAAGAAACTGCTAATGGGCTCAAATGAGCTAGTGCTCCCATTCTGTCAGTGTATTCGCAATTTCATATTCAGACCTAAGAGTCTGCAGGTCTTAATACAAACATTATGCTTCAGCCCCTTGTGGAAACAGCCATCGATTGGCATCTGCATGTTTACACCGCCATGGATTTTCCCAGCGACACCCTAACCCATCCTCACCAGGTGGTGGCTCATTTTCTGAGGCTTAGACAGAGGTCCCTTCTGTGACCAGCTGTGGACGGGGAGAGCCATATTCCCTCCCTACTGTTGATTTTTCCTTCACTAAGGACTTTGGCCCACATCGCTTGAAATAAAATCATTTCAAAGGAGAATACTTGCCTCCATGAAAGCTCACATATGTACACACTCACAGGTTCACCTGCTATTTAGGTAGAGTTTTCATTTGGTTTCAAATAACAGACTTGCACTTGTGTTACCTTAAGAAAAGGGGGTTTGATGGAATGTTTCACATGTCCTGGACGTGGAAAGCCATCTAGAGTGTAAGTTCTCTATCTCAGTTCTGTGTGTCACCTGCTCTTAGCAACTCTGGTTTTCTCTGTTTCATATGCCCCCTCTCTGCCACATTACTTCTTCTCTCATACTATCTGCTCCTCTGAACTTTAGCTGGGGCCCTTGACAATAAGAGCTTCAGCTATCCCATGGATCCTTTCAGCTCCAACTCCCATTGCTTTCCCTCTCGGTATTTCCTACATCAAATTTCTCATAAGAGGAATCCGGCTGCCATATCTCAGCTTTTTGCCAAGCCATGACATGGGTTACTACCTAGGGTCAGGTTGCACTCCTGGTCTAGTCACTTGTGCTGCGAGGGGGTAGGATCACATGCCATAAAACATCACCACTGTAGGCTTTCCTTTTCCATAGGAGCTTTTCCTCTTAGAAGGGGATTCTGGGCAGACAGTCAACTATGATGAACAGTGAAGTATTTCACTCCTCCAGCTACCACCACTACCACTACCATCAAGTCGATTCCGACTCACAGTGACCCTCATCGAGTTTGCAAGGCTGTATACTCATCTTTCTCCCATGGAGCAGCTAATGGGTTCAAACTGCGAACCTTTTGGTTAGCAGCCCAATGCCTTAACCATACCACCCCCAGTACTCCTCCAGCTCCAGAACATCCAAAGACAGCCCAGACTATCTCCCAACTTCAACGTCTTCAAGATGTGAGGATAATAGGCATTGCCCTGTGGTCATTCAGGATCTCCCACTAAGGGTGTTGGCTTTCAGAGTCAGATCACACACTAGTGCCAGACTGGAGAAGGAGCAGAATAAAAACAAGAGAAGGAAAAAAAAACCTACCAAAGAGAGAAGAAAGGATGTGGATTGTAAGAGTGGCAGATTAAGAAGATTAGAAAAAGCAAGGGAGAGGTATAAGCAGCAGAGCCAGTGACATCTGGAATAGGGAAAATTTAATCATAAAACAGTGTCCAGGGCCATTAACGGAAAGGACAGCCCAAGACCTCAAACCTCAGAAGCCTCCGAAGGCTCTCACTGTTCCATGTTAAAGAGACACAAGCTCAAACGGTAAAGCAGAGAGAGGAGCTATTCAGTAAGCAGTACAAGATCAGAAGCTGTAGACTTCAGTGGTCCCTATTGCCCCTAATGAAAGTTAGTTAATAAAGAAAAACAGTATAGAGTGTTTTAGGAAGGTTGTTGTTTTTTTTTTTTTGGCGGTGGGGGGGAGGTGTTTTGGGTGTTTTTTGTTTTTGTTTTTGTTTTTTAAGAAAAAAAATAACATTTAAAATTTTAGCACTTGAAGACTTATCCTTCATTTATCTGAAAAATGCTTTATATAATGTCTCCATCATACACACACACACACACACCTGTGAATATTCCTATGTACATATCTATATAAGTGGGTGTAGTTCGGGAGAAGTTTGTGTGTGTGCGTATTAAAGTGTGTAGAACATAAAATTCACCCTTTTTTATCAACCAAAACCTACACAGCTTAATGAGTTATGTCTCCTTTGTCATGGTTAACTTAGAAGGCTGGGTGCTTATTTCAAACATGATGCTACTGCTGAAAGCAGTTAAGATCTCCTGCTGTCCAACTGCTTTCAGAACCTGAGGTACATTTATTGGTCCTCATATTAGTCAGCTTTTTTGCTGCATAACAAACACTCAAAAATAACCTCACTGGCATGCAACAGTAATTGTCCATTCTCTGCTAATGGATCTGCAGATTGGCAGAGACAGCCCTATCTAGAGCAGCTCTTCTTAAGCTAGGAATCAAGGATAGGTCTTCTTGTGTGTCTATTCTGGGGCCCAGGCCAGAGGGACAGTGATTCCCTGGGGCCTGTTCTCTTGGTGGAAGGTGGATACACCCAGAAGGGCAAGCAGAAATATAGGATGTTCTTGGAACAGGCGCCCAGCCACTCTGACCACACTACACTGACCAAAGCAAGTTACATGGTTAAGGCCAATTTTAATGGAGGAATGAATACTCCTCCCCTAGGGAGAGGGGAAGGAGCTCTGGTGGTGTACTAGTTAAGGCATTTGGCTGCTAACCAAAAGGCTGGTGGTTGAAACCTACCAGCTGCTCTGTGGAAGAAAGATGGGTCAGTCTGCTTCTGCAAAGATTTACAGTCTTGGAAATCCAATGGAGGTCACTATGAGAATTGACTGGATAGCAATTGGTTTGGGGTTTTTGGTTTGAGGGGAAGATAGAGAGGGAATATGTGCTAAGAAATCATCCAGTCTTTCATAGTACTGACCATATCTTGACTATGCTGCAATTCTAGGTAAAATCTCTTTTAAGGGACCTAGAGTGGCTTGGAGAGAAATCTTGGGTAATTATAGTCCACAGACCACCCAAAACATGTTGGCTTTCCCAAGGGACGTTAGGGTCATAGAAACCATGAGTACTGTCTACATACTTATTTCACGTCCCTTGAAGTGAATATTCATTCTCATCATCCCAGTAGCCAGTTGCTGCAGAGCTGGTTCCAACTCCTGGCAGCCCCATGTGCATCTGAGTAGAACTGTGCTCCACTGGGGTTTCGATGGCTGTTTGTTGGGGGTGGATTGCCAGGCCTTTCTTCTGAGGAGCCTCTACGTAGATTCCAACCTCCAGCCTTCCAGTGAGCAGCTAAGTGCACAGTTTGCACCACACAATTCATGGCAGTTAATATAGATGCGTAAGTGTGTACACACATTATTTACATTGACGTAGTTTATGTCAATCAATTACTTTTTCTCTATCACAGAAGTGCTTGACATTTAATCCAGCCAAAAGAATATCCGCCTACAGTGCCCTGTCTCACCCATACTTCCGTGACCTGGAAAGGTGCAAGGAGAACCCGGATTCCCACCTGCCGCCTGGCCAGAACCCCTCAGAGCTGAACACAGCCTGAGGCCTCAGTGGCTGCCTTGAGCTAATTGTGCCCAGAATGCCCTTGGTGGCTGGCAGGTGCCCCTGGGAAGACCCCTCAGAGCTGATGAGGATCGCCATCCGGAGGCCTTGCAGCTGCTGTCTTCTGGATGGGCCCTGCTTCTCCAAGGAAACCGCCTAGTTTACTGTTTTGAAATCAATGCAAAAATGATTGCAGCTTTATGTTCATTTGTTTGTCTGTCTGTCTGTCTGTTTCAAGAACCTGGAAAAGTTCCAGAAGAAGAGAAGCTGCTGACCAATTGTGCTGCCATTTCATTTTTCTAACCTTGAATGCTGCCAGTGTGAAGTGGGCAATCCAGGCACAGCTGAGTTATGATGTAATCTCTCTGCAGCTGCCAGGGCCTCATTTGGTACTTTTGAGTGAGTGAGTGAGAATGTGTGTGTCTGTGTGTGTGTGTGTGAGAGAGAGAGATTCTGTGATCTCTTAAAGTGTTACTTTTTGTTAGCGACATAGAATAATTGAATATTAAAGACTCAAGGTGACTGATAAATAATGTTGACTGAAGGGGATTCATCAGAATGGGTTTCTCAAATTAGGAGGTTGAGCCTATGTCCTCAGCATTTCTTTTCTGGATAAAAGCAGTAAACTTGCTAGCAGTAAAAGATTCACTATCTAGTTGAAGTTTTATATACACAGCAAAAAGGAAAAAAAAAATCGTAATATCTTTTAAGAGACCTATTTTTAAAAGCACACCTTCTGTTTGTTCTTTGAAAAGCTGAATTTGTTCATTGTAAATCAGTTTTAACCTTCTGTAGAATACTATCTTCTTTTGGAAAACACCCTGTAAGCTTTTTATTACTTGCTGTAGATTTAGGGAGTGTACCTCAAATAGGTAAAAGTTTAAAAAAAAAAAAAAAATAGAGAAAGCCTTTATTTCCTGATTTGAAAGCTCTTTATTTCCTTTTTTATTCCTTGTTGTTATTTTGAGCTTGGTTTGTTTTTAGGGATTTATCAGAAACTGTTTCCTGTTTTGGTTTGAAGAGTAGTTCTCCCAGACTCGAGACAAGAAAATGCCATTTAGGTTTTCCCCTCCTATTACATGTTCTTTCCATCATGCACTGCCTGCAAAGTACCCATTTTGTCTATCCCCCAGCACCTCTAATAGCTGTTGCTGCCATTCCATAACTAGTAAGAGATCACTTTAGCTGTTCCCAGGCACCACCTGCCTTCTTTCTCTTGATGAACCTTTCAGAGATATGCAGAGTCAGATTATGGCTCGTGGCCTCAGTTCCACAATCCAAGCAAGGCCCATATGTTCTTACTCAAATGTGATCTTCTTACATGGGATTCACTGTTGTTACCTAGGAAATGAGCAGAAGACTTGTTTTGCTCTATCACCAGCACATAGACTGCTTTAAACTGTTAGTCACTGTTTCACATTTTTATAAACCGTATAGTCAGGGCAGTTTCTGAGGCAGTGTTTTTTAGAGATCTATATTTACTCTCTAAAGTGATCTTTCCCCATTCCCCAGGCTGTGCTTGTTTTAAGTGCCTGGTGCACACCCAAGTTCTCTGCAGAGCCAGCCAGCCGGGCCACTGAGAACAGCTTTGCTTTTTCTCTTGCAGTTTTCTTGCCTTCTACAGTACTTCATAGTTAAGCCATCTCTGCCTTAAGTGTGGTTTAGTGCTCAGTCAGCTTTAGTAACCAGAAAACACAGAAATGAAGTATCTTTTAGGAAGTCTAGCTACTTTGCTTTCCAAGTCATGTTTTGAAATGCACCATGTTTAGAGTTAGGATTTTCAAAGAATGGACATTGCCTCACTCAGGAGAAAATGTTCCAGATATTTATTCATTGTAAAGCCTTACTGAATTCTTGGCAGTTTAATATTGCATATAACTGTTTGAAGAAGAGAAAAATCAAGAGACATTTCTTCTGAGAGTTTTTTGGGTTGGGAACCATTTTTTTGTACATATGTGCACTGTTAACATTGGTCTAATTGAGTAGTTTGAAGAACAGGGAATTTTTCCTAACATAAGAATGGGAAGATGGGCCATAAGGATGTTTTACAATTTTTTCATTGCGACAACATTGATAATACTTTGTTGTCACTAGAAATGCTTGAGATATAATGACTCCCCAGCATTCAGGGCAAATTGTTCTCAGTCTTACCTGGAAGAGTGAGTTCTGCCTTCCCTTTGATCAGGGATCAAAATACAAAAGACATTTTCATTGGAGTCTACAAATTGAATTTAAAAACTCACTGCACTGAGTCATCATGAGCTTTTTTTGGTCAGTATCCATGGCTAGAATGAACGCAACTTTAGTTTTTGCTTTTGCAAAAGTTTGTCATAAGTTAGCTTAAGAATAATGCAGCTTTTCTAAACTGGAATTTTTTTCAGCATTCTTTAGAATTTTAAACAAGTAAGCTCAACTTTTATTTCTAGCATATGCTTTTGGCTCATTTCTTAGTAGTTTTTGTGAAGAAAAATTAAAGTACAAATATTTTGTTATTAGACTCTTAGTGAATTAATCCAATTTTGCCAAGAGAATGAGAGGGCATCTTGGCCTTTCTGAACTTCATGAAGAGTCTGTCTGTCCCCAGCTCTCCCGTCCGTGTGGTGGTTGCACTTGGTTACTCTCCTTTGATGTCCTGTACATCATGCTCCCCATTTCTGAAACCCAGGTCCCACACACACAGTCTTGCTGTTAGGGCACTTTGAGGCATGATAGCAGAAAAAGAGCTTACTGAATACATCTTACCCTTCTGTGGCATATGGTTCCAAACATCTTTGCCAAGCATTCGGTAATGGTTTGCTCAAAAGGTCCTGCTGCCCCAGAGTTACACTGAAGCAGCCAGTGAAAATAACAGCAACAGATCTAAAAGCACATTTGACTTTCTTACTAGGACCAGTGCAAGAATATGCCTGATAGTTTCTGTATGAGGTTTGGTTCTGGTGGCCCTCTCATTTTGGAAGCTGTTGTGCAGGGTAGAGAATAACTAACGATGATTAAAAAGAGGAAATCTTTCCTTAACCATCATGAGCTATCAGATGGCCGAGGGTCATGAAGACAGTTGACAAAGTGCTTATGAGAACCCAGTGCTTTGGAGCCCTCCCACTCTTTCCCTCCATTGAAGGTGAACAGAGCTTCAGGTGCAAAGCTCTTGTCCTGGAAGAAAGCTTAGGGCATTTCAGCCCCCTGTATTCATGATTTTCTCTCCAGAAACACACACCATGATTTGCCAACTTTTCACTTAGCCCCAGATGACTTACTGGAATTATTTACCTAAGAATAGAATCTCAGGATTTTATTTTTAAGTAAAAATGAAAATTGTACAGACAGTTAATATCTTAAAGAAAGCATGTTCTTTTTAATAGAGGAATTTATGGCTTCACTCTGGACTGTGGTACTATATATATCTTGATGAGGAAACTCTTAAACAACCAAACGTTTAGAACCTCAAGTTATGTATTTGGATTGAATTTTTAAGTAACTAAACTGTTGCTTTTAAAAATGGTGCCTGGTAAGTTCAATAACAGCAATTCTCATTCCATTAATTAAATCATGTAAGCTTCCTAATTATAAATATATTAAAATTCATTTACCCAAAGAATTACTGCCTTTTTATTAAGTGACAGCTTGGCTGTTTTTTATCAATGCAGCTTCAACCCCATTTTGTTGGCCATTTGGTTCATCCATATATCTCAAGCATTTCTAACTTGTATTGTTTCAGAAAATAAACCAAAAATACTCCTTTGGCCTTCTCTATCTTCTGACCTTTATAAAGAACTGAAATGTAGAAATAGGGTCTGATCTTTAGATGTTTTTCTTTTTTTTCAATTTTTTAAACAAAGTATCAATCAGCTTTTCAAAATGTTTTCTTTTTATTAGCATTCCCAGGAAGTTCAGATAAATGAATGGATTTTTATCAATATGTTTATGTTTTCTTAATACTGAAGTTCTGTCCTTCAGGAAGAAAGCTAAGGAGCCACTTGAAAATGAATATAGGCTTTTTTCCCCCCCTCTTCCCCCAAGCAACTATAAAAGTACATTTACAGTGAGTTAAAGTTAATATGATAGGAAAGAGAGGTGGCTTTTCTTAGGGGTTAGGAAGAAAAGCCTCGGTTTTAAATTCACACTGACCTTAGGGATGGGTTTCTTTCTTTTGTTCCAGTATGTTCTGTAGATCAAGGCTAAAGAGGTTTTTTTTGCACATATTTAACTTTTGCCTAGCATTTGCTTTTCAGAATGACTAATAGTCTCCATAATGTTCTGTAACTTAGAAAGTGTAGTCGTTAGCTAGGTTCTGAACAACTGTTAGCAAATAAATTGTGCTTGAGGAAAGATAATGCACCCATTTTGATCGTTTGAGCAAATAAAGAAAGCCTAGTCGTTCATTTCTTCAAGAAATATTGTTTAAGGCGATTAAGTACCCACCTGGAATTTTCTAAGTGCAGGATTTACAAAGAGAACAAGATGTATTGATAAAAATAGAAAAAGGCAACTGTCATTTGTGAAAAGGACAGTTCCGTTAGGAATATAAAATCCTCCAGTGGCCTCCATCAAAACATCCGTACCCCATCTGTTCCCTGCGGTGGTGGCCTTTCTTTACTGATTAAAATCCAACTTAAAAATTCAGTGAGCAAAATAAGTAGCAGATTAGTAATCAAGTAGACAAAACTTTTTCTAAAGAACTGCTACCCTGAAACAGCCCTAAAACCCTAAAAAAAGGAAAATTGATCATTTTCACATTTGCATAATCAAATGTAAATTCATAAGGTATTCTCATTTTTTAAAATTTTGTTTTATGTGCATAGTAACTTACTGCCATCTACATAAGTTTTAGTGTCTCCACTTTTAAAAATATATTGGCAACTTTATACTTCAAATATATATATATACACACATTAATGTTTTAAATCACAGGTCTTCTCAGAGCCCATTATGCTCCAGATTATTTAAATTAATAATTAAAAGTCACCTCAAGTGTCACAGAAATTAAGGAGGTATAGATTTCAAAGAGTTTGCTTAGCACAGCAGAACAGAAGGCAGTTTATTCCTTCTGAGCGACAGAAACAAAATAGTGCCAGCTTAACTTTCCTCCAGAGCTCTGGTGGCGTAGTGGATAAGGCCCTACACTGCTAACCGGAGGGTCAGTGAGTCAAACCCACCAGCTGCTCGCAGAAGGGAGACGTGGTGATCTACTTCCCTAAAGATTTAGAGCCTCGGCGTTGGAAACAGCTCCATGGCGGAAAGCTCTTTATGAAATCATCCGCCTCATCCCTCCACCCACTCATAATCCCACCGAGGTAAAGTTCAATTTAAACCCATAAAGGAAAGGCCGGATTCCGATCTCGAGTTTGTAATCCGTGGGCCACTTTGAACTCTTATTCGCTCATGTTCAACACTGAAAGCCTTCTGGTGCGGTGCGTCGTCACCCCGCGCATGTGGCCATAAACTGGGCTGGCCCAGACTTGCCGTCTGCTCACCTGTTGGTGTCAAACCAAGTCCAGGCCAGCAGGATACTGCCCGAGGTCTAAAGCGTGCCCTGCTGCTGTCTCAGAGGCATCCGCTCTGCACTCTTAGGAAGTAAAATGTCACGAGACTCAAACGGGTGTCTTCTGTGCATGAAGAAGTACAACACGTTCTCCGAAAGTTCGGGTATGAAGAGATGTGGTAAAGGTTGCTCTGTGTGGAGCT